TTCTATGTATCTTCTCAATTATTAAGTTTGATTGTATGGAAATAAAATAATAACATAACATAGAAAAACGGTTATTTATTATTATAACAATAAATTGTTTATTTCCATTAATAACTTTTGGAATCTCAATGAAAAACAAATATGCATCTCATACTTTGCAAAATGATCTTTTTAAGAGTTCAAGAATTTGCCTAATACATAAAATTAAACAAATTAATAGATAAAAATTAAAAATATGAGTTTCACCAATATTCTTTTTATATACTTTTGCAAAATGATGTTTTTAATAATCATATCTTTTTTAACAGCTTGTGAGAGTACCATCAAATTTCTTACAAATGTGTTTGGTTGGAGGGGGCAGATAGAGTGTAAGACTTTGTCTAGTACATAAAAATAAATAAATAAAATTAAAAAAGAAAAATATATAACTTTCACCATATATATAATTTTTTGAATAATTTCTATTTACATTGATCATCAATTTTGTTTACTATTCTCTCTTTTTTACCAACAAAACCCTAAAAATTCAGAACTTTATTTATGAACCTATGGAGAAAGTTCTTCAAAGATGGTGTTATAAGTATAAGTTTTGTTCTTGAAAGAGATAGAAGGTAATTAATGTTGGAAGGACAAGATTCTTGGCGTGACCTAGAATGACTTGTATAAAACACCTTTTATATAGCATTTGGTGAGACCATACATGTTGAGAAAGATCAAAAGATCACTTATTGAAACCAAAACATGAAACTTGCTCCTCGTTGCAACTTACCACTAAAGATAATACATGTGCCGGATAGTAAGGACCCTCATCATGAGAGTGTCATGATGCAAAAGATAATGATTTCATTGAAAGAAGCAGACACAAACAAAGATGGTCGCTACAACAAGGATGAACTCAAGCGTGCCCTCAAAGACCTAGGTGCCTTCTTCCCTGGCTGGAGAGTCCGTCGTGCTTTTAACAAAGTTGATGTCAACCATGACGGTCAAATCAGCGGAAAGGAAATCGATTCTCTTCTCGAGTATCTTTGTTCTTGCGGGTTTGGAAAATAAGTGATCCATTATTCAATAATCAATCACCCCTTATATACTTATATATATCCTTTTGTGTTGTGAGATATGTGTTATACATTAGTATATTCATGTCTACGTGATTAAGGTTGAAGATTAGTATATTCATGATCAATTTATAGATAACTTTGTTTTGTCTTTTAAATATCTAAATACTTCTTATGTATGTATGAAAAATAATTTTGTTAATGAGTTGTTCACTTGCAAGGAGGGTGGGAAAGGGAGGAGCAGTTAGAGAGGGTAAGGGAGGAAGAACAATGGTAAAGGAAGGTGGGAAAGGAGAAGAGAAGAGAGTGAAGAGTTTTAAATTAGAATATGGTTCAAATTTTGACATGTAACATTATAAATTATGTATAATGGAGATAAAAAAATTATGGAAATTAGTTAAAATTAAATTAGAATAACCATATATCTAACTATTTTGAAAAACAAGATAAAGATGAAGATTAAGTTAAAAATTAAAGAAAAGTTTATTTTACTAATGCAAAATAACTAAAATGAACAAAGTTTACTTTAAGTGGATTCACTCATTGTGGTAATTGGTCCCATCATATTTTTGGTCAATTAAAGACTTAAATATTGATGGTGTTTGGCTTGGCATACACTTATGATATCATCCATTCATTCAAAAGATATTCCTTACTTTTCAACAAGATATTTGTATCCAAAGAAAGATATCTCAAACATATTTTTTCTGAGAAATACGTCCGAAATAATCTGGATGATATACAATTTTTAATAACAAGAACTTCTATCTTATTATATTGTGTTTGTGTTTGGATGAGAGATTTTAATTATTTCAAGAAATTGAAATAAATGATAATTGAATTATTTGAAATTAGATTTTTTTCATTTTTTAAATATTTTATTTAGATAAAGTAATTAAAATATCTTAAATTTTTTTAAAAATATCTTTTAAGAAAAAAATTCATTTTAAAAATATATATTTTAAAATCAAAATTTACAAAACATATTAGTTAATTTAATTATTAAAATATAAATTTATTTTTTTAATATGTGTATATATATGTAATGTGTGAAGAGAGTACAATTCTCAATTTAGTTTAATCCATATGTCTTAATTCTGGTTCGCATGAGTCAAAGCCAAAAATACCTATAAGGCCAAAAAGTCCATAGAAAAAAAGCTCACGAGACCAAAAGACTAACAAAAGTCAAAATAGTCAGAGTCTTAGTTAAAAGTTTAATTGAGTCGGCCTCAATTGAAAATCGAGTCAAGACGGTCATAGTTAAAGGTCAAGGTAGGTCATATCAATCCAAAATTGAACAGAGTCAACCTAAGTTGAAGGTCAAATTAACTTAGTATGATCGAAGAATCAGGTCGAATATTAAGTATACAAATTCCAAAAATATATAGAAGTATCATAAAATTTGTATTACTCCTTCTAGTTGTGTATTTTGGTTGGAGGGAAGAAGTGAAAATAACAATACTACAAAAATTTTAACACATGAGAGAATATAACTCATACACAACTAAGAACAAATTAAGAATAACATAGCTTTAATACATACACAAGGATTGATAGAACATTATTAAAATAGAAAAGAAAAAAAATTCTTGCAACTTTACTCAAAGCTCACAAACATATGACTAACAAACATATAAATAAATTTAACGAGAGAAAAACTAGTACGGTGAAAAAGAGGTGTTTATTTTTCCATAAATGAATTACAAATAAATATCATAATTTCAATTATTCATCCACAAAATGGTACCTTAATTTAGTACTGTGCATATAAATTTTCAGGTTAATGACTAAGTCGGTCATGACTAGAATTTTTCGAATTCAGCTGAGTTGGCCCCAACTGATATTTGGCCGAATTGGCCACGATCAAAATTTGGCTAAATTTGACTGAGTCAACCATGACCTAAATTTGTTCTAATTCAACTTAATTTGGCCTAGTCGAATTCGACCGAAATTTGGTCAAATTCGACTAAGTCGATCTCAACTTAAATTCGTCCAAATTTGACCAAGTTAGCCTTAACTGAAATTTGATTGAATTCGACCAAGTCAATCAATCACAACCAAAGCTTCAATGTAGTATATTTCGATAGAATAAAAAATTATTTAATTCATTTCAGACAAGTTACTTTTTTGGTTCACAACAATTTAGTTAAGTGCGGTTCAATTTTTTTGAGGAAGTATACAAATTACAATAATTGAGAATATTTTTTTCTCTTCATCAAATTATCTTATTGGCAACCTATTAATCAATCGTATTTATGCATAATGATAACTTTCATATTCTATAACAATTTGTAGAGTGTTTTCCCTATGACTTCCTTTTATAACGTATCATTCATGTATATATAATCGAATATATTTTTGAATTATTATTTTTTATTATTATCAAATATATGTGGTTGTAGCTTGATTATAAATATAAATTGGTTAAGAATTTTCAAAAATATTAAATGAACTTTAAATTTAATTCAATCTTATAAAATTAGTTTATAAAATAAAGTTTATACTCGATTATATATTATAAACTCATCTTATGACAGATAATTATCTCTAATTTTAATAAACTTCTCTTCTATCACTCCAAATTCCCTAGTCAACATCTTGTTTCTCTCATTGAACATAATAAAAATCCACCAAGGACACCCCTTCAATAGTCAATGATTGATATTCTTCCCAAGGTAGACCGTATGATAAATATTCTTCCTTATCCTCCATGCTTCCCAAAACTTACTTTCACTCTTTATGAAAAAAACAAAATATATTAAAGCAATTAATTGGGCTGATCATCCCATATTATCAAAGAATCATATGCCACTTTTGACAAAACATATTTGGACAACGTGAGATGAGAACAATAAGGCAACTGTAGAAGAATAAAAGTATTAAATAATTGCATCAATTGAAGATCACGCATGCATAATATAATTAGTCCACTCCATTTCAGTTTTGAGTTTAATGTTTGATTAAGGTGATCGACTCAAAATAAATTAGACTGCGACCAGGAAGATTTAATATCGTATATATAAAATGAATCATTCTTAACTATAACAAATTATTTGGTATTATAGAAAAAAAATGTTTTCATATATATATATTGAAAATTCACCCACAATATCAGTTATCCGTGTTTCAATTTTCTTTTGTTTTGGTAATCAAATGAATCAAGCGAATAAAAATTTTCAACTGAATTCAACCGTTCAGGTGCTGGTGGAGTCGTATTGTTGCCAAATTGGAACATATGATATCAACCGTCTATACGACATAGATTCCTTTTCTTTACATGCTTTGCTGAGATATGCATGCATACCTCAGTTGGCTAAACAATTTCAATAACATATCACGTTTCTTAATTAGGTTTTAACACAGACTCACATTTTTATATAAAATATATATACATATCTTCTCAATTATTAGGTTTAATTTTATCGAAACAAAATAATAACATAACATACAATAACGGTTATCTATTATTATAATAATAAATTGTTTATTTCCATCGATAATATTTTGGAATCTCAGTCAAAAACAAATATGCACCTTATACTTTCCGAAATAATATTTTTAATAATCGCATTTGTTTTTAAAACAGTTATTGATAATTTATTGAAGTACCATGAAATTTCTCATGGTCAGAGAGAGTGGAAATATAAGAATTCAAGAATTTTGTCTAGTACATAAAAACAAATATACAGAAAATTTAAAAAGTGTCATGTTCATAAATTTTTTTATTTACGTTCTATCTTCAATTTTTTTAATTTTAACCAGACACTTTATTTTATAAATTTCGTTAGTAATAATTTAATTTTTTTACCAACTTTATTATTTCTCTCTTTTTTACCAACAATTGTTGACCTCTGTAAGCTTGTTATCGAAGACATTGAAAGCGTTAGAAAGAGAAGATTCTTGACCTAAGCCAGAATGGCCTCTATAAAGCATCCTGGGTATGGCATTTGGTGAGAGCATAGGCATTCAGTCTTTTGATCTTTCTGAAAAGAACACTCAGTGAAATCAAAATGCCTGTGAAAATTCCTCTTATAATACCCGTTCCGGCTGGAAAGTACTATCCAGAGAGTGAGAGTGCGATAATGAAGAAAATAATGGATACATTAAGAGAAGCCGACAGAAACCATGACGGTCGCTACAACAAGGATGAACTGAAGCATGCCCTCAAAGACTTAGGTGCCTTTTTTCCTGGCTGGAGAGCCAATCGTGCTTTTGACAGAATTGATATCAATAATGATGGTCAAATCAGCGGTGAGGAAATCGATTCTCTCCTCGAGTATCTTCGCTCTCGCGGCTTTGGAAAATAAGCGATCCGTTTCACCCTATGATCAATCACCCCATATATATATATTCTTATATGCGTGGTGATATTCTGTGTTCTATATATAATATAGTTTCTGAAATAACATCCATGTCTTCACAAACTAAGGTTGAAGATGGATTCATGAGTTATGGCTAACTTTGTTTTTTTTTTTTCAAGTATGTAAGTCAGTTTTCTTCCTCAACTTCGTCTGTAAGAAAAAATAATTATGTTACGTTGTTTGGATGGATCATATTGGTATAAAGAAACCAATTATAGACTATGCATGAAGTCTTGTAATAAATATGTGTGGAAAGTTTCTTTCCTTCTCTCTTTATCCATGCTCTTATATCATGATTTTACAATTGTTTTCTCGTTAAACATTTTTGTTTTTTGAGATAACTTTGAAGCAAACATGACAACGTTTTTGTAAGTCATGTGCTTGTCGGATGAGAACTTAATGAAGTTATTCATTTTCTTTTGTGATGAGAGCTTGAAGACAGTGAGAATAGTTTTGTTAAGATTATAACTTGCGTATTTTGTTAAGATTTAACTATGGATTATTTATGATTATTTTTTTCATATTTAATAAGCAAACTCCTTATTGTGGCAAGAGTTCGGTGTGATTATTTTTATTTTCCGACAAGGAGCATATATGAAGAGATTAAAATTCTTGTAAACCAAATGATGGAGATTCTTCCTCATCCTCCATGCTTTTGGCAAAGTTGCTTTCAATATTTATTAACAAAATCAAATATTAAAGGAATGTCCCTTTTGAATAAAATATATTAGATAATGACATAACTTAGAAGATTTTACATATCATATATAATTTATGAACTCCCTTTTGAATTTTGATTTTGTTAACCTGATTAAGATCATATGTGTGTGATTTTTTTATAGTTATATTATATTTTATATTAATTCTGTATTATTGTCAATGATAATATAATAAATTTTGAATATAACTTTCAAAATTATTGTCGAGATCCGTCATTGCGTACTATGTTGTTGTTCATTTTGTGTATATATAAGTTTTGTCATACTGTGAATATATTTTTTTTTATCAAAAACAAATTATATATAAATGCAACATTTGGTTACTGATAAAGGAGAAAGAAAATAATGATTCATGTGGTGCCAGACTGGGTAACATTTGAAAATTTCCAAATTTGATCTTTTGTATAGAGTTCAATGATTTCAGTTTTATTTTGTTTGAAAGAAGTGTTTCCTGTTCAATTAGACAAAAATAATAGAAATTATTAGTATAGTTAGATGAAAATAACCAATATTCAATTACTTACAAAAAGATCAAAATAAGAACTAAGTTAAAAAATTTATTTTTATTAATATAAAATAATTAATAATAATTGTGAAAAATATTATCATCAACTCTACTCTTACTCTTCAGTATATATATTTGTCAATATATCGTAATCTTGTTTTTCGTATGAAAATTAAATTTAAACTTTTGTTACGAGTTTTATTTACTATACAAAAATCACTCGAAATATACTAGCTGTTTACCTAACGAAAATTTTTACACACAAATTAAATATGAATATTTCACTACATTAATATATAAAAATTATTATATTAACAATAATACATTAGTTATACTAATATTTAAGAAGAATGAATCAAGAATATAACTTTATAATAACTTTTATACTTTCTTTTTGTGTTGGCCAACCAAATAAATGAATCAAATGCTAACTTCGAAGTGAATTCTCTGGTCGTGGGGTAACTGGTCCCAATCATATTCTTGGTCAAATAAAGAATCATACGATTGTGTTTGGTTTGGCCTATATATATGGAACATATGATATCAACCATTCATTCCTTTCTTCACAAGATATTTGTAGCAAAGAAAGATATATGAAAAACATATTTTGTTGAGATGTCTGTAAGGTGAAAGAAAGAGAACAGAACGAGAAGGGAAAAAACGAAGAGAAATGAGATTATTATTCTATATTTACATGAGTGGCATATAAAAAATACCAAAAGACTAAACTAAAAGAGAAAAAGAAATATGAAACTGATATATAGTAAGAGTTGTATACGTAGGTCACGTAACAACATGCATACTAAATAATCGGTATAATATATATTTTTTAACAAGTAAGAATACGGTGACACACTTTTATATTTATTTGACACATAAGATAAAATGATTAGAAAAAATTATTTTTCTAAAAAATAGTATCAGATGAATATAAAAATTTTATGAGTTAAAATATCATTTTTCATTTTTAATAACAAGAATTTTTATGACCTCACTTGCTATGTTTTAAACTATACACTCATCGATCAAATTCGTAACGTCAAATGATCTAAATCGAGAACCATCAATTGATCAGTCATAGAAATGTCAACATAAACCCTAAGACATGTATTGTTTCAACTTAACATGGGTTCAAACATAACAATAAAAAAAACTAGTAAAATAATAAGATTAAGATGGAATCCACAAATTATTCTCGTAAGCAAGATTATGATATCATTAGGTCATGATTAAGTTTCACAAAAGTTAAAAAACCACCAAAAGCCTATAAATAGTTTATGTAGGTAAAGTAGTTGAGACTCTTGTTCATCTACATTTAGTAGACTGTTTGAACCAAACAGTAGAGATCGAACAACCAAAATAGGAGTAAAAGAGCTTCAGATAGCACGGGAGCTAGATAGTATTCGGCCATACAGGTTTGATGGAGATATTATAATATCGGTTATCTATTATTACAATATAGAAATTGTTTATTTTTCATGAATAATTTTTGGATTATATTATACTGTTAACACGTTAAACTTTTACATTTTTGAATTCGATATTAAACTTTAAAAATCATTTGGATTACCAGAAATTTACTCTCATTTCATTTTCTTGCTCTGCTAGATAACTTTTGTACATGAAGAATTAAGGGTAGAAGTAAAAAGATAAATAAACCAACAATCCTTAGTTGACACAAATATTCTTTTTGTGAAAATAAATTTCAAAAGGTATAGGTTATTGAGTAAAGGTGTTGGTAAGGTATCCAAGAGGTGGCATTTTTTCTAGAATTTTGTTCTCTACTTTTTTTTCTTTTTTTTATAAGGATTAAGGCAACTCCATTGGTTCGTGTTTGTCAATAAAAAAAATTAATAATTTAATATATACTTATTATTACTAATAGAATTACCAATGACATAATAATTTTAACAAATTTTATTAAAATAACTTTTTTAATATCATATTAATAAATAAGTTTGTGTTGATAAAATTGAGTTAATTAACTCAATTTTATTGAATTGAATTATAAATAAAATTTACAATGTAAAAATGATTGATTTTATTAGTCATATTAATCATCTCCAAATTCTTGCTTGTATAAGAATGCAATTAGAACTCTTTACAAACAAGATGACAATGAGAACCCAAATTACTTGTATAATTTAAAATGTAAAGATGATGATTTTAATAGTTGTACAAATGATCTTCCATTACTTGCATAAATATAACTAAAACTATTAATATATAACATGTTGATAATGAGAACCCAAGTTAATTACAAGTATAGTTTAAAATGTAAAGATCATTAATTTCATTAGCTATATAAATAATCACCTTCCAAAATTTTACCTACACCGAAGTTATATATTAAAAGTAGTAAGACAACCTAAATTAGTTTTCATTTTTAAAAGAAAAATGAGATTGATTGAAAAAGTGAAATATGCATAAAATTAGACATAAACGAGAAACTTCTACATGGGTGAAATAACGTTGTGCTGTGATTTGGTAAAGAAGAAGGCTGTTGAATTAATATTATGTTTTCATATATTGTTCTTGAATGAAAAAAGATTTCTAGATTATTATCCTTTATTAAAAGCACCAAATAACCCACACTTTTGTTAAATTATGAGTGAAAAGCTGCATCTAATTGAAGGAATCAAATCCAAAGGCATACGAAATATGCTTTACTTCATATGGCTTTGCAAGCACGACGTGTTAGAATATAGTAGTTAGGATTTGTGCTATGGCATATAATTAAGTTAATCTGAGTTTATTATGTTATTTAACCCTTTTATAAAAATTGAATATATCGTAATTATGAGTGAGAAAAGAAATCATTTCTACTATTCAAAATATATGTTTCAACGTAAAGAAGAAAATCTTTATATTTCTGAAACATCTCATGGTTTCCAAATCACATAGGAAAAAATTTATTTAGAACAATACCACTCGTTTTCCTTCATCTATGAGTGTCTGGAATTTTCATTTTGAATATATAGATAGGTGCAATAGAAGACTTAAATCCACTTTAAATCATCGCAATTATGTCAAAAAAATATCTCTTATTTCTATAAAAATATAAGTTTATTCAAATTTTCAGTTTTTCGAATAATATTTTTTTATTCAACATTAGTATATTATCTACATGAATGTGTTTCCAATGATTTCCTATATTAAAATTTATTTTTAAACATTATTATCTATATTCTATGTGAATAAGTAACATTATTATTATCAAGCACTTCAAAAATATTCCCACAAAAAGCATATCTGAAGATATTAAAATGTAATGTATACCATATGATAGAGATTCTACCTTATCCTCCATAGCTACTTTCAATATTTATGAACAAAATCAAATATTAATTACTAAATTGGGTGACCATCCCATCAAAGAATATATGCCACGTTTGGCACTTACATCCCATTTAGGTGGTGAGATTAATTTTAGACAACTTTAGAAGAATAAAAATATTAGATAATTATAAGATAACTAGATTCTTTTTAAAAAAATACAAAATCATGAGTGATTATTTAAAATTATTAAATAAAAATTGAAATATACAAAATTTTAACTTTTTCAATAATTTTCAATTAAAAATGAAAAAAAAAATTTGTTTATTATTTTCTTTATTCAATGGGGAATTTGAACACGTTTTGAAACAAAAAATTGTTTCACCGATTGACCCTCTATATAACTCCCTGCATGTTTGTGACATTTGGTGACACCATAGCCATTAATCTCTTCCAACTCCTTTGAGAAGAACAAAACAATGTCACAGCCTTATGTCTACGAAAGCAGAAGGCCAGTGAGAATAATCCCTACTCTTCCAGGGAAGACAATAGTGGTGTCTGGTCAAACCAAGACAATAGCTGATAGTTTCACCATGCAGAAAATAATGGAAGCACTGCATAATGCAGACAGAGACAGAAATGGCAGTTACAACAAGGATGAACTCAAGCAAGCCCTCAGAGACTTAGGTGCCTACTTCCCAAATTGGAGAGCCTATCGTGCTTTCGGAAAAGCTGATGCCAACAATGACGGTCAAATTAGCGGCGAAGAAATCGACACTCTCATTGAGTATCTTCATTCTTGTGGCTTTGGAAAATAGTCATCCATCATTAGTTCATCAAATAATCAGTGTGTTGTGTTCTGTGATCATATATTATGTAATATAGTTTGTGTTTGTGCTTTTATATACCCTCATGCCTACACATATAAGGTTCAAGATGGATAATAAATCATGATATATAACATGATTCATATATATCTGTATAACGTTGTTCTCAAGTATCCAATAAACCAGATTTCCTTCCTCAAATTATGAAAAATACTTCTGTAACTCCTTTACATAAGATCAGTTCCTTAATTTTATATATATATATATATATATATATATATATATATATATATATATATATATATATATATATATATATATATATATATATTTGTGTGTGTGCATACATAGCAGCGTTGTGCCTCGAAGACAGTGAAGTCTATGGTAATATGAATCAACCTTGTGTTTTTGCTATTGCAATTTTCTGGTTTCATGGACTTTGTGGTGTTGCTGATAAAATAAGAGCCATTATTTATATAGATTCTAGTAATTGTTTCATGTTTTTCTTTTGTTTGACTAATTAACGTAAGTTCTTCTCGTTGTGAAAGTATGCATGGGATCTGATAACTGATGGTAATTAGGGCAACCAGTGAGAGTTAATACAAAGATATCTAGAGTTTTATCACTCCAACACTATTAGTTAGAGTTTAGCCTGTCATACACGTGATTAAATGAATAAACATACAGAAAAGCATAAAGAAAACAAGGGATAAAAGTACACTCTCAAAGAAAAAGTTGTCCCTAAAACTAATTTTGTACAAATTTACTTTTTCATTTAGTTGTATTTTGCTCCAAATTTAAAAGGTTCTATTTTTCTGATGTGCAATTAACATTTTTTGTTCCATAAATGGGTCAATTTTTATGTTTAGTTGATTCTCTTACATACTTACTTACCCATCAATAGTCTAATTATTGCTTGATTTTCAGAACAAAAAGATAGTCATCAATCCTTAATAGCATACAACTCAGTTCCTTTTTTGAACTTCTACATGAGCATGTGTTCAATTGTTTACAAGTTGAGAAAATGAATCTGAAGACAGAACCTATTAATATTACATACATACAAGGTGAAGCCACTCATTGAGTATGAGAAGCCAACAATGTTAAATTGATGTGATTTTCATCATATTATTATTGCCATGTCCATGACAATCGAATCAAGTAAATAATCACTACAACAAACTGTACAACGAAGAAAACAATGTTATCTGTCTGATGTTACACCTTTGAGCCGAAGTTGTAATTCTGAAGCTGGAAATTGTATTCTGTGCTGTCATAAATCCTCTGTCCAACGAATTCCACAGAATGATGCTGATTTCATCAGGCTTAGCTAATTCACATCACTTATACAAGCAACATTAAGATCCAATTGAAACATATTTCATACAAACAATGAGAGTTGAATCGTTTTTAAAGGCCTAACTTCTAAATTTGTGGCATTTCATATTGAACAATAGTCACACAGCAATCCAAACAGAAATACCAAGCCAATTATTTTGAAGATAAGCTTAAAGAAATCTCCCTAAACAGCTTCAGAAATCTGATTAATGAAAGAAAGAACTCAAGATAATAACTATAGGAAGGATGGCAAGCGCATCACTCAAATTAAAAATTCTACTCAAGTCCAAACATGCTTAAACTTTTACCTATGAAATTCTTGGAGAAGCACAGTCTGCAGTCCTGCAACTATCTACACCAGAACAAGATAAATGCCAAAAGACCTTTAATTTATAGCAGAAGAGGTCTCAGGTAATTTCCAGTAATTCCATGAATTAAAATCTTCCTGCAACCAATATTCAGCAAGAACAAGGCAAATAAATATTGTACAGCAAGAACAAGGCAAATAAATATTGTACAACAAGAACAAATCTTTATATCATCAAACTTGCTATGGGAAGACCCAAAATGAGTTCGGGGGGAAAAAATAAAGAAAAAGCCTTCAGAGTTGAACCTGTTCAGATGAGTTTGTAGGGGGGAACATTCCATTCACAAGAGAATGAAGAGAGGTGTATGAATGTGTGTCAAAACAACGACTATTTACAACAATCTCTCCCTGAAAAAACTGAAGACATGAGAATGGAAGTTTTGCAAACTATGAATAACTCTGGAAGTTTTAGCATTTATACATTTCCAAATATATAAAACTTACCCTTGGATTAATGATGAAAACTTTTCCTTTTGGGATTCCAACCTTAAGGTAGCTGACTTCATCAGTATCCCTATTTCCAAAACCAGCATAGAATGGATTGCAATCTGGAGGAAAAAGTGCCTTAATGTCCTGCATGCATTAAATTTTCACTTATCTTAAATGACATGAATATACTGAAAAAAAAAAAGATTTTTTTCCAATTTTAGTACAGTGGGAACCTAACCTCTAAACATGCAATTTTGAACTCGTGAGGAGCCCTCCGGATAACTAAAAAAAGAGAAGAAATGTGTCATAATCCCAAATAGTATAAAGCCATCACGATCAAGGTGTGCCAGTTCCAGACTCAGCCTTGACAACATATTGAAAAAATCTAATGAATCACCTAAGATAACTCCTACAAACACTAGTGTGTTTTAAACCTCACGTTAGTCCACAAGATGTTTGAGTTTTGTTAATTCGTCCCTAAATAAGACGACATTAAACAATCAAGAAAAAAGGGATTAAAATGGATAATAGAGAATTTTCAAAATCTAATGGACCAAAAAGAGAAAAGGTCATACTGTACAAATAAGAAGAGGAACAGTAAGAAGAAACATAGAAGAAAGATGAGCAGACTAGTTACCTTCTCGATATAGAGAAGGAAAAAGTCCATCAGGGGAAATAACAACAGGACCATCTGGTAAAACTTTCCCATCCTGCATCAAAACAAAAGGAATATGATGATGTAAACTGTTTTCTTTATTTCATTGTCTTGTTTTGTTCATCCTTGACATTCAAGATTGATTTGAAACTTATGTATCACCTGCTTAAGGTTGCAAAGAAATTGTCTGGTGTGATAGGCCTGAGATATTGCACGAGCACTGAGAAAAAGTAGCTGGTAGCCATTTTCCTGTAGAGTGTGTATTAGACTAGAGAAGATTCATAATTGTTACAGACAGGGTAATGAACATTTTCAATCCAAGAACTCCCTAGACAATGAATTGACCATTAGAATGAATGAACGATCATGTAAAATAGAAGTCATGAATTTTGTGGCCTTAACAGATAATCGCTTACTTGTTTTGGGACAACCTGCCTAAGAACAGTGCTGATATAAAGAGTGACATTGATGTATAAGAGCAATGAATTTTCATGTTGTAGTAATCTCAAAACACCTAAACATACAAGCAAGACAGACAAACCTTGATATCTGAGAATAAATGAGCAACGCCTGTTTGCGACCAGTCGATTCCTACTAATGGCATGAATTGACCTAGAACATCTGATCTGTTGGTGTAAAACAAAAGAAAGAATTTAACTTGTTTCGTGCTTTGTTCAAGCGATATCAGGACAGAATTATTTCGTGCTTTGTTCAAAAGAAACAGGATTCACAGAGCATCTTGTTCAGCACCAAAAAATAGAATAGAAGTTTACTTTGCTGACTCATAAGAAGAAAGAGTTTGGTGCTGTGTGTTTTCTCATTGATTTAAGAAAATCAATCAGGAAGTTCTTCCAAAATAGATCATAGTTCTAACTTATTATTGTTAGTATATGCAAAACACAGTTGATTAAAGTTGAGTCATTGATTCAATCATTGTTGATATTTCAGCAAAATTGCTGAAGAGCATTTTTTTGGTAGATAACAAGTGTGATTTATTTGCTATATCAAATTAGCGGTGAAAAGACAATAAACTATTGTAAGAATAAATATTAACCATAAGTCTCTCAGAGTATAATATGTATTTATTTGCAAAACTGTTTCCTTTTCAACCAGATATATCCTCACCTTGTAATTGTCCCATCTACATCTGATATCACTATACGAGTATTCCATTTCCACAAATATATTTGAGCATCAACCTGAAAGTCAGAAGAGTGTTTTAAAATACAAAAGAAATAACAACAAAAGAAACAAAGTGAAAGGTGAAGAAAGCTTCATGTATTGAAATAAAATTCTTCAATTTTATTGATTACTAACTTGCCGGTTCCCCATAGCTGTGGAGAAACTGAAGGTTATTGTGTTCCTCCCTTCCTTCAGATTCAAGGATTCAAGTTGTTCAGAGGTTGGAGTATTCTCTCTAACATTTTTAATCGAGCAATCTCTTCGACCAATATTGACAGTATGAGATTTTCGAAACTGTGGTTTGTCTCCAACATTGCCGGTAGCACACATACCAGAATGGGAACATTCTCTTTGCTGAGACTGTAACACAGAGGCCTCCATTGGTGTTCTCCCAATCTCAAAATCCTTAGTGACTTCCTCACTTTCTTTAACCTAAACAAGAACTAAAGCATATCAGTGTCAACCAAAACGAGATGCACTCTTCACTCCTTTTGCCTGTTTTACTTAAACTTAAAATTAGCCGCTAACTTATTAGAGATTTTCAACTATGAAACCCAACAAGTGCATATGGAGAAGCTAATGAGGAGGCTTTTAAGAAAGTGAGGTGTATAAGTTGATGTAATTTATGAAAGAAAATTGACCCTCTTCAAGAAATTTATCCAAAGAAGCTTTGACTGATGTTGATATATAAATCTTCACATTTTAATTTGAGCCAAACTCAACTCTAAAAGCTAACTCCACTCATATCACTAATCAATGGAAAATCTCTTATCTTGTCATGTTGAAGACCAAATATCTCGAAGATGAAGTTTGCAGCAACGGATACTTCTGACAACAAGTACTATGATAATAGACATATGATAGTACTAACAGGTTCAAAATTCAAATTCTAAGAGTAAAAGCTCTAACAAGTTAACCAAGAAGAATTTAGTATGATTTACCTCAGGTAGAACTAGAGTTGCAGGTTGCAAGACCTCCTCAGCAGTGACACGAACTTCTCCACATCCTGCACTTGCAAGGCACACCTCATTGGACACAGGCTTTGATCTAGTATCATCTTGCTCACTGCAAGAATAAGATTCCTCCGTCATGTTACATGATGG